GGGATCTTTAACATTTACACAAGATGAAAGCTGGGGCCTTACTTTAATAAGTCATATAAACAATGGCACGGTGGCTCAGTGGTTAGCGCTGCTGCCTCACAGTGCTGGGGACCTGGGTTCGATTCCAGTCTCAATCAACTGTTTGGTGGAGTTTGCATGTTCTACTTGTGTCTGCGTAGGTTTCCTCTGGGTGCTCCAGTTTCCTTCCACAGTCCAAAGATGTGTATGGTAGGTGGATTGTCCATGCTAAATTTCCCATATTGCTCAGGGAAGTGTAGGTTAGGTGTATTAGAACATAGAACAGTACAAGCCCTTTGGCCCAAAATGTTGGCTGACCTATTATCCTACTAAGATCAAACTACCCTACGTTTTATTATCATCCATGTGCCTATCCAAGAGTCGCTTAAATGTCACTAATGTATCTGACTCCACTACCACTGCCGGCAGCGCATTCCACACGCCCACCACTCTCTGTGTGAAGAACCTACCTCTGACATCTCCCCTATACCTTCCTCCAATCACCTTAAAATTATGCTCCCTCGTAATAGTCATTTTCGCCCTGAGAAAAAATCTCTGGGCATCCATTCTATCTATGCCTCTCATCATCTTGTACACCTCTATCAAGTCACCTCTCATCCTTCTTAGCCACGGGAAATGCAGGTTCAGGGAGATGGGTCTGGGTGGGATGCTCTTTGGAGGGTCGGTGTGCACTTGTTGGGCTGAATGGCCTATTTCCACCCTGTAGGGATTCTATAATCATACAACACAGTACTGTTTGTGCCATAAACAATCCCACACAAAGTCCCATTGACTGTTAGCTATGGTGGAAGCCTACAGAATTGAGAGCAAATTACTGACATGGATAGGAAATTGATTGACTGGCAGGAAACAGAGAGGTGGAATAATGGGAAGTATTCATTCAGGCAGGATGTGACTCGTGGTGTCCTGCAGGAATTTGTGTTCGGGCTTCAATCATTCACAATATTCTTTAATGACTTGGAAAATGGCATAAAATGTCAAATATTCAAACTTACTGATGCCACAAAATTGAGCAGCATTATAGACAGTGTTGATGACAGTATAAAATCACAAAAGGATATTGAAAGATTAGGTGAGTGGGCAAAGCTATAGTAGATGGATTTTAATATAAGCATATGTGCAGTTATCCACTTTGGACTTAAATTGGATAAATCAATATATTTTCAGAGGGCACAAAGTTAAATGCAGTGGATATCCAACAAAAATTGGGAGTTCAGGTGCACAGTTCTTTAAAACACCATATCAGTACAGAAATAGTCAAGGCAGCTAACGGAATGCTGGCCTTCATATCTAAAGGGCTGCAGTATAGGGGTGCAGACATTATGGTGCAGTTATACAAGATCTGAGTTAAACCTCACTTGGAGTACTGTGAGCCGATCTGGACACCACACCTTATGAAGAATGTTTTGGACCTGAAGGGAGTTTCATACAAATTTACAAGGATGATACTTGGACTTCAGGGGTTAAGCTATCAGGTGGGATTAGACAAATTAGTCTTTTATTTTCTAGAATTTACAAGGTTAAGGGGAGATCTAATCAAGACTTTCAGGATATTAACAAGGAAAGACACAATAGATAAAGATAAACTATTTCCACTGCTTGAAGATTCTAGAACCAGGAGCATAGTCTAAGAATTAGGGCCAGGCCATCCAGGTGAGACGTGAGGAAGCACTTTCACACATAAACAGTAGCGGAACTTAGCTCCCTCAAATGAGATAGATACTTTTTTTAATTAAGCAAGTGTGTCGAAAGATATGGGCCCAAGGCAGGCATATGGAATTAGGCCACAGATTATCAGCCATAGCCTTGTTGGATGGCGGAGCAGGTTTGAGAGGTTGAATAGCTTACTCCTATTTCTATGTAACTGTGTTGGGTTTGAGCTCTAGTCTAGGAGTTAGACTTGAGCCCAGAACCTTATGACTCTGAGAAAAGAATGTCACCAACTGCTCCTTCGCCTTAGGCAGTGTCTCAGGATCATGGATGATTTGCATCCACGCTGGTTTGATGGGATTTAGTGTCACAGAGTCATAGAGTCCTACAGCATGGAGAAAGGCCCTTCAGCACAAAATGGTCCATGCCGACCAAAATGTCCATCCACACTAATCCTGTTTCCCTGCACTTGGCCCATATCCTTCTCATCCTTTCCTTTCCATGTATTCGTCCAATAAATGTTGTTAATGTACCCGCCTCAACCACTTCTGCTGGGAACTCATTCCATATGCGTACCACCCTCTGTGTAAAAAAGTTGCCCCTCAGGTTCTCATGTATTCTTTCCCCTCTTACCTTAAACTGATGCTCTCCAGTCCTCAATTCCCCAACCCTGGGAAAAAGACTGAGTGAATTCACCCTAAACCATGCCTCTCATGATCTTATACACTTCTATAAGATCTCCCTTCAGACTCCTACGCTCTAAAGAAACAAATCCTAGCTTGTCCAACCTCTCCCTATAACTCAGTCCCTTGACTCCTGGCAACATCCTTGTAAATTTCTTCAGCACTCTTTCCAGTTTAATAATACCCTTCCTATAGCAAGGTCATCAAAACTGAACACCATACTCCAAGTGCAGCTGCACCAAGATCCAGAACAACTGCATCATAACTTCCCAACTTTTGAAAGGCTTGATAAGTCCATTGTTTGTTCTGCAGACCCTGTCACAGATAGGAAAAGTGAGACAAATGGGCTATTTACCTTCACTCTCTGATGCCTTGACTTGACCTCTGTACATCCCCAATGAAGTCTCTTGATGTGGTTTGTGTCTTCCCAAATGTTCCTTCTCAGGTTGAGCACAAACCAAGGTTTCCTAAGAGTCAACCAGGATGTTTTATCTTTTCAAGACATCCCAAAAAAATTTCTGCTTTCCCCCAGGAGAGACACTCCTGATGCAACCCATATTGAGTAGAGCAGTTATTTGGGATTGAAGTACTGTGGACTTTGGGAATCAGAAATAAAAACAGAAAGTGGCAGAGAAACACAGCAGGTCTGGCAGCATCTCTGGAAAGAGAAACATTTCAAATCCAGTGATTCTTCTTCAGAATTGAAGAGAGCTGGAAAATGATGCTTTTTATGCTGTTGACAAAGGGGAAGGGGGAGTGAGAGGAACAGATCATGAGAGTGCCTGGAGCAAAAGACAAAGTGAGTTCTAACGGCAACAAAGGAGAGATCTGGATTCAAAATAGATGTGAATAGTAGAAAATAGTTCAGCTCTACTGAGAACAAACCCATACCCTCCTCCCCATGCATTGGCAGAACGTGTGACAGTGGAACTGTTACCTCTTCTTTCTTACTGTTCAGGGTCCCAAACACATCTTACAGGTGAGGCAGCAGTTTTCTTGTACTTTTTCTTTCAATCCAGCCTTCTGTACTCACTGCTCACAGTGCAGTTTCCTTCACATTGTGAATCCAAATGCAGACTGGGTAACCACTTTGCATTTCCTTGCATTTCTCCCTAAGTCTCCAACAGTACTACATATAAATATCCCACCATCGGTCATTTTATGATTCTATCAGGGAAAAGGCAGAGGAATGGCAATAGGTGACTTGTTTTTGTTGTGATCTAACTTAGACATGATAGATTGAAAGGCCTCCTTCAGAAATTCCATGAATCCGTGATTCTAAATCCTTTGTCGAGTACGCTAAGTCAAAGCAACAAGACAGACACAAGAACAAAGCAAAAACTCCATTACTCTGACAAGTGACACACTTCCCACTCATTCAATATACTCTATAACTTACAAGGCTCAAGTTGGGATCAGATTGACACAGTGAACGGGATATTTGAAACATTAAACCATCCTGGACGGAGTGTGATCCACTTGATCAGGAGATCTGCCACTGGATGCATCTCCCAGCAGGTTATGGCAGAAGTAACTGTAATCTACAAGATTCAGAGCAGCCACTTGCTATCCACATTTCGAATATCATGTCCCAGTCTATAGTCTCGACCACACCAAGAAGGATAAAAGTACCAGAATTGGAGGCACATCGTCACCTGCAAGTTCTCCTCAATATCAAGATCATCCTGACCTGAACTTAATCACCATTTCTGGAACATTACTAAGTTCAAACACTGCAGTTTCACATCAAAAACCGACATAGTTAAACAGAAATGCTTGTCATCACCTTCACAAGCAACTAGGAATGACCAACTGAAAAAATGAGACTTTGTCAATTTTCCTCCATTTTAATAACAACCTCTTCAAAACCAGAGATAGTAGGAACTGCAGATGCTGGAGAATCCGAGACAACAAGGTGCAAGGCTGGATGAACACAGCAGGCCAAGCAGCATCATAGGAGCAGAGAGGCTGACGTTTCGGGCCTAGACCCTTCATCAGAAAAGGGGGAGGGGAAGGGGGTTTTGAAATAAATAGGGAGAGAGTGGGAGGCGGATAGAAGAGGGATGGAGGAGAGGATAGGTGGAGAAGAAACAAACAGGTCTTCAAAACCAGCCCTGTTTGGTTGCTATGGAATAAATGACAGTTCCAAGTTTAAATGCTGGCAAATAGGGTTTGGTCAGATTGGGATATCTGACCAGAGTGGACAAGTTGGCCCAAAGGGTCTGTTTCTGTGCTGTATGACTCTAGGTTCTGAACCTTTCTCCCTAAAGAAATACCTTTGGCCTGAAAACCCCCAAATGGAAAGAACTGAGCCAAGTAACTCCCTATAGCAACATAAAATGATCCCATATGATTGTCCCACCAGCTCATGGTGAAGACAGATCATTGTCAACTGGAAGACTGCAGTATCCAATGGAACTAAAGACAACAGTTTTAGGAGGGCACTCCTTGCAGAATTCAGTCAATGAAGACAAGGAACTCAATCAACAGTCAATAGGAAATGAAATGTCGAAGAAGCGCTGCTGTATTAAAATCAAATGTAAATAAAGGCTCTTATCCAACATCTGAACTTATTATGGAGCAACGTAAGGTGACTTTGTTGGAAGACAAGTAGACAGACGGACTTACTTGTCAAACACAACCGCAGCATATGCTGGCTCAGCAAATACCACATCCCCACTCAGAAGATCTTGCTTGGCCTTCAACCCTCTGCCCTTGCCATCTGCATCGAAGATTTCTACTTTATCCATATCACCGACTGTCATTGAGAGAATGAGCAAGAGCCCAGCACTACGAGCTTTAACCTTGGCCACTAATCTTCAGCTAATCTTGACACGTTCAGACAGTCAAAAGTGAGCTCTATAAATGGTCTGACTCATCCAGCCTGTACCAAGTCAAAAAATGGTGAGGAGAGTAGGGGGGTGGGGTGGGGGGTGGGGGCGCTTTATGGATGAAGATTGCAGGAATGCCCACCTGGTGAAACACGATGCCTAGGTTAATTCAGACAAACTATTGTACATTCCTTTAACTCCTGACAAAGATTCAGAATAGTAAGTCGCAGCTCATTTCAAAGAAAAAAGGGAAATTTTTGGCAGGTATTATAAAAATCCTGCAACATTACATGTGTAATCTCTCTACCCCCTTGAGAAATGAGCTGGGTGCAGCCAGTGGATTTATTTTTGGAAAACAGATGCCATTGTCCGTCAAAATGTGACAGCTGAAGAGGAGCTGCCATTACTTGTGAGACTTGCTAAAAGATATCAGCGTGTTATCAGTCCCTTGAATTTCTGCACATTGAACAGTGGTCTCTGGCACTGGCCTAAAGCATTAGTGAATGCAAAAGCACGAGAATGTTTTGTGGAAGGTTCCAGAAACCTGACAAAGGTCAATTGATTGAATGGGGCATGTTAGAAGGGTAGTGCTGGTTATCCAATGCAACAATAAATTAAGCTTACCTGAACACTAAGTTAAATGAAAAAATTATGGGCTGAATCTTACCTTTTTTTTGGCACAGTGTCATTTTTGTCGACTTTCACAGAGGGTTTCACTTTGCAAGGCCTAAAGAGTATTCTCATGCTATGGTTCCCAAACTCACCTCATTGACTATTTACCACATTCCAATGGTTTCCCTCTTGTCTGATACTAACCTGATTCTCCCACTCGCTGTAACTGAAAGTGCTCATCACTGACCTGGTATTGGCACCACTTTTAAAAGGTCATTGTTCACCTGGTCAAGCATTTGGTGACATTCGGCCTGGCATGGCAGAGAAGGGAATTTGGTACCTGCTTTGTGGACAGGGGCTTGGAGCTCCAGCTGGAGAGGGTGATGCAAGGGTAGGACTTCCCCTTCCCCAAGATTGGCAGAGTAGGGCACGTTACTAAAATCTGCCAGCCTAAGGCACAGATTTACCACCCAGGTCAATGCAATCGCAGCCATCTGGCTGGAAGGAAGACCCAGCACCGCTGGAAGAAGGTCAATGACCTTCTCCACTCTGCCAGGAAGAGTACCACCACCTTCACTCTGCTACCTCACTCTCACTCTATCTCTGCCACTGTACCCGCTTCCTACCATGGCAGATTCTGTACCAGTCTCACTATTGTGTGAAGCATCTGTCCTCACTCACCCTCACCCACCCAATTCCCTCACAGCGTGGCCTCTGGGTTGCCTATTCACTCACTCAGGCCACTTTTTTTTCTTTATTCATTCATGGGATGAGGGCATCACTGGCTAGGCAGCGTTTATTGCCCATCCCTAATTGCCCAGAGGGCAATTAAGAGTCAACTACATTGCTGTGGGTCTGGAGTCACATGTAGGCCAGACCAGGTAAGGATGGCAGTTTCCTTCCCTAAGGGACATTAGTGAACCAGATGGGTTTTTCTGACAATGGATTCACTGTCATCATTAGACTCTTAATTCCAGATATTTATTGAATTCAATCTCCACCATCTGCCATGGCGGGATTCAAACCTGGGTCCCCAGAACATTATCTGGGTCCCTGGATTAACAGTCCAGTGATAGTACCACTAACCCATCACCTCCATCATCACCTTTTGACCACCTGCTTCAGAACTACCAGTTCTGCCTCCTACTTTAATCTCATTCAAACCCTCCCTTTCTCTCATTCCAGGAGAAAATAGTCCATGATGCGGGGAGAATGAACAAGATGGGTGCTGTGCTGCTTGACATTCAGCCCCTCGGCTACAAGGAGGTGAATGACCATCCCAGTTGGCCAAATGACCATGTCCAAGCTCCTGAGGTGACATCAAGGGCTGTTCTTGACCAGCTGTAACAGCACCCCATGGCTGAAGAGGGTCTTCCCTTGACTTGACTGAAGACTAGCCTCTGGAGTCTTCCAGTAATGTCTATTTTCTTGCTGCGCGTGTGGTGTATTTTCTGTGTACAGTGCTAACATATGATGCAGGTGTGAGATTGACTCAGTACAGTGCCACACAGTAACATGTCCAACCCCTTGTCTAATGAACTGCTGACCACCATAACAGAATGTCGGGCTTTGTGTCTGCACAAGAAGGCAAGTCGAGATAGAAATATGATCTATCCCTTCACTCTGCCTGAAAGAGCAAAGGGCAAAGAGGCATGGTAAACCTGAGGATGCTGTAAACATCTAAACAAAGTGAGTGAATGCTGAGACAGCATGTGAGGAGCCCCAAGATGCAGCATGTTCCAACCCCTTATCGATGCCTATTCCCGCACACCAAGTCTATCATGTGCAGCACTGCAATGATTGATGCATTCCAGAATGGAGCTTACTGCGAATGGGTCGGAGGTGTGACATGAAGTGCAGAGAGACTGATATGGTCTTGGCAGCCAAGGTCCATGGGCATAGAATGCGTGTGGTCACTGTCCATGGAGACCGCACTGAGACTTTGGTGCTTGGTTTCTGGAGGCTGAAGCAGGGAGCTGGGATCGCCAGGCACCCACTTAGAAACTTTTTTTTTGTTGAGTAATTCTGCATCTGGTTTCCATTTGGAGGGTGGTAAACAGAAACCTGCAGATCAGCAAGGTGTACTTACATATAAATGAGGGTGAGACTGAGCAATCATTCCTATTAATAGGCCTCTCACCTCTCAATGGCGAGAATGTGCTTTCAACATCTGGAACTCAGTTGGAAAATGTGAATTGTTGCTCCCGAATGAAAGTCCTCATTCAACATCTCACTCAGTCCTTCCAAATTACTCATCATCATTCATGGCATGGGAAGATCCCACCCGATTTTATAGTTGGAAGAAGGTTGCCTCATGAAAGAGGCAAAGAGAAAATAGTCAAAACTTAATGCAAAGAAATATGATGAACTACACGAAGTGAGGTGAATGAATCTAACTTACATAGAACATAGAACAGTACAGGCCTTTCGGCCCACGATGTTGTACCGACCTATTATTCTACTCTGAGAGCAAAACTACCCTGCATACCCTACATTTTACTATCATCCATGTGCCTATCCAAGAGTTGCTTAAATGTCCCTAATGTATCTCAATCTACTACCACTACCAGCAGCGCATTCCACACACCCACCACTCTCTGTGTAAAGAAGCTACCTCTGATATCTCCCCTATACCTTCCTCCAATCTCCTTAAAATAATGTCCCCTCTTAATAGTCATTTCCATTCTGGGAAAATGTCTCTGGCTATCCATTTTATCTATGCCTCTCATCATCTTGTACAAGTCACCTCTCATCCTTCTTCGCTCCAATGGAAAATGCCCCAGCTCCCTCAACCTTTCCTCATAAGGCCTGCCCTCCAGTTCAGACAACATCCTGGTAAATCTCCTCTGCACCCGCTCTAAAGCTTCCACATCGTTCCAATATTGAGGTGACCAGAATTGAACACAATATTCCAAGTGTGATCTAACCAGGGTTTTATAGAGCTGCAGCATAACCTCGCGGCTCTTAAACTCAATCAACCTGCCAATGATAATCAACACACCATACGCCTTCTTTACAATCCTATCAACTTGGGTAGCAACTTTGAGGGATCTATGGACGTGGACCCCAAGGTCCCTCTGTTCCTCCACACTGCCGAGAATCCTACCATTAACCCTGTATTCTGCATTCAAATTCGACCTTCCAAAATGAATCACTTCACACTTTTCTGAGTTGAATTCCATCTGTCACTTCTATGCCCAGCTTTGAATCCTATCAATGTCCCATTGCAACCTGCAACAACCCTCCATGCTGTCCACAACCCCACCAACCTTCGCGTCATCAGCAAACTTACTAACCCACCCTTCCACTTCCTCACCCAAGTCATTTATAAAGATCACAAAGAACAGAACAGATCCCTGTGGAACACCACTGGTCACCGAGCTCCAGGCTGAATACTTTCCATCTTCTACCACCCTCTGTCTTCTATTGGACAGCCTATTCTGTATCCAGACAGCCAGATTTTCCTGAATCCCATGCCTCCTTGCTTTCTGAATAAGCCTATCATGGGGAACCTTATCAAATGCCTTGCTAAAATCCATATACACCACATCCACTGCTCTGCCTTCATTAATGTGTTTTATCACATCCTCAAAGAATTCAATAAGGCTTGTGAGGCTTGACCTGCCCCTCACAAAGCCATGCTGACTATTTCTAATCAAACTGTGCTTTTCCAAATGATCATAAATACTATCGCTCAGAATCCTATCCAATAGTTTGCTCACCACAGAAGTAAACCTGACTGATCTGTAATTCCCAGGATTATCCCTATTCCCTTTCTTGAACAAGGAAATAACATTTTCCACCCTCCAGTCATCTGGTACTACTCCAGTGGACGGTGAGGATACAAAAATCATCGCCAAAGGCGCAGCAATCTCTTCCCTCGCTTCGTGTAGAAACCTTGGGTGTATCCCATCTGGCCCAGGGGACTTATCTATTCTAAAATTTTTTAAAATTTCTAGCACATCCCCCTTCCTAACATCAGCCTGTTTGAACATATATGCCTGTTTCATGCTGCCCTCACAAACTACAAGGTCCCTCTCACTGATGAATAGTGAAGCAAAGTATTCATTAAGGTCCTCCCCTACCTCCTCTGACTCCGCGCACAAGTTCCCTCCACTATCCCTGATTGGCCTTACCCTCACTCTGGCCATACTCTTGGTTCCTCACGTAAGTATAGAAAGCCTTGAAGTTTTCCTTAATCCTACCCAAGGCTTTTCCATGCCCCCTACTAGCTTTCCTAAGTCCATTCTTCAGTTCCTTCCTGGCTACATGGTTTCATTTAAAATTTGATGTAGAAACAGGGAAGTCTTTGAAGATGGCCA